CAGTGACACCTTTGCCCTGTGAATAAAAAAATACAAAAATGAAATGCATTATAACAGACTTCTACTATATGTCATGTGGGCCATCGCAAACCCTGGAAAAATTTTTTTTGCCCAACTTGGTTACTTTTAATTGCACTGTGTGTGTTTTCAAAATTTTGCTGTGGTTTTGGCAGTGCTTAAACACTACAGGATACAACAACCCAGCCACTACTTCCTGGTTGTGCTCTCAGTATAAACTCTGCACTTGTCAGTTCTTCTTGTCTGATCATCAGCTGCTAAATCATCAGTGAGAGCAGACTGAAGCCACTCCGATCATGTTGCCATTCAGGACAGTATTTATCACACTAAACATTGGATTTGTAATACCTCTTATATTCCAAGCTGTGAACTATCAATGCCTGACACTGTTGTAAATTTGCCCTACATTGAAAGGTTCTTCAAAAGCAACTTGCATTTATATAGCACCTTTGACACAATAAAATGTGCCACTGCACTTCAAAAGAACGTATTAAGCCTGAAACCCACTCATCCAAAAAATGTGACTGGAGCAGTACCAAAGGAGAGTTGGAGTGTCAGAGGTGCAACCGAGAAAGGGCTTGTAAGCTCTCTCAGGTAGATGTAATGGTTACCGTCTCAAAGAAAAGCAATTCTCCTTGTGTCCTGATCAATATTTCGCCCTTCAGTCAATCAAACTGAATGAAGACATTGTTTTGTCACTATTGCATTGCACTTGTGGAAGTTGCAGTGCATAAATTGTTTACTACTAATTTCCTATGTTACAGATTTGTAAAAGAACAACATACTGAGAATGTGGAGCCTGCACCTCTGTTCAATTAGATCATGGCTGACTGTCTATCTCAATGTCATTATCCTGCACTACCTCCATGTCCCTTGATGTTGTTAACCTCCTGAAATCTATCGATTTGTGTTTTGAATCTGGGACAGAGAATTCTAAAATTTAACCGTGTTCTGAGTGAAGAAATTCCTCCTCATCTGAGCCTTAAATAGCCTGCCATTTATCCTGTGATTATGTCACCTATTTTAAGATTCTTCAGCTAGGGGAATATCTTATCCATCGAGAGAAAGTAGAGTTAGTGTTTCGAATCCATAACAGTCAACGCTATAACTATATCCATTTATCCCATTTTAACCTGAAGCCTTGACTATTGTTGTGTGCAGTTCCACAAAGAGCAGGACTGATTCCCTGCAGTGGTCAATCGTCAGCAGTAACACCTTAGATAGTCGTTGCTTGAAGTGACTTCTCAGCTGGGGGTGACTTCACAATCAGGAGCCTGTCCCCTCCAACCAATGCATGTGCTGACAAGGGAAGAAATGGGGCATTGGTAACAGCAAGGAAGAAGAATTCTGTCTGCATTTTCCCATCTTCCTCCCTGAAACTAAATCTCAACAATTTCGCTCAGTTCACTGTGGATCTGTCAATGAGTCGGGCCCTGGACTTTCAGAGTTAACCCTTATAAAAGGCGCAGGCTCAGTGAACTTACCAAACTGGAGGGGGTGAGCTTTCCACTGAAGGAGAAGGGACATATTTAGCGCGGGGAAGTTCTGTTCTAATTCTGAGAAGGCAAGTAAATTTGTCATGATAAGCAAACTGTTAACCACCTTATCATAATTTCTATTGCCAGCACTATGTCAGCCACTGAGGGGTCAGGGTGAAACAAACAGGATCTACTTACTCAGTAATCATGGAAAAAAAGTGCTGTAACGTGTCCTGATAAAAGCAGGCTAGTGAGATGCAATTAGTGGAGGACACTTAAATAGTAAACATAAAATTGCTGTTTCCAGTCCAGGGGGCATTAACCTAGTGCCTCCATTCTGGCTGTTGTCACCATATCCAACCAGTTTTTACTATCATAGAAAAATGACTTGGCTAAAACAGGTAAAAATTACAGTCATCCCTAATTTAATTTCTGCACCAAATCCTGGTTCGTTGATATTTGTTGATAGGCTTTGTTGGATCATTGCAATGGTGACCATAGTAGTTGGCACCATTGCCTCACAGTGTCAGTGACCCTGGTTTGATTCTAACCTAGGGCGAATGACTGTCTGTGTGGAGTTTGCACATTCCCCCTGGGTCGTTGTGGGTTTCCTCTGGGTGCTTCGGTTTCCACCCACAGTCCAAAGATGTGCAGGTTAGGTGGATTGGCCATGCTGAATTGCCCTGTAGTGTCCAAGGATGTTACGTGGGTTAGCCATGGTAGGTATGGTGTTACAGGGATGAGATGGAGGAGGGGTGGTCTCAGTGGGATGCTGATTGGAGGGTTGGTGCAGATTAAATGGGTTAAATGGACTCTATCTGCACTTTAGGAGGAACCAAAAGGGTGGCATGGTGACTCAGTTGTTAGCATTATTGCCCCACAGTGCCAGCAACCCAGGTTCGATTCCAGCCTTGTGTGACTGTGTGGACTTCACCTGATAAGCGGCTACACTCCAAAAGCTTGTGTTGTCAAATAAACCTGTTGGACCAAAACCTGGTGTCATGTGACTTCTGACCTTGTCCACCCCAGTCCAACACCGGCACCTCCACATCATGTGTGGAGTTTGCACATTCTCCCCATGTCTGTGTGGGTTTCCTCTAGATGCTCCAGTTTCCTCCCACAGTCCAGCAATGTGCAGGTTAAGTGGCTTGACCATGGGAAATGTGGGGTTATGGATATAGGGTCAGGGACTAGGTCTGGGTGGGATGCTCTTTGAGGGTCAGTCCAGATTTGATGGGCCAAAAGCACTGTATGGATTCTGTGAGAGGCTTTATGTAATCTTTCTTTCTGAGGTTAAAAGGGGGCATTGTCCCTGTGGTAGGGCAGATTGTGGATGAACTGTGGAAGAAGACTGATCTGTGGGCATAGCCCATTCCCGCACCTTCCAACCCACATAGAATATATACTAACAAAACCCACCCTGCTTCCAAAAGACCCAGCACTTCATTGGCTGTAAAGCACTTTGGGACATCCTGATGTCATGAATGGCGCTATGGAAATGAAAGTCCTCTTTTTCAGTGTGTGTTCCGGGATGTGTAGATTCGGACTGTGTAATCAAGTGAGTTTGACTGCTATGTCACACCCTCTCAGAGTATGACCTCCTCAGAGTTGTTCCAGGGCATGTTGTGTATGTCCGACCCAATAGTTTGTCAGCATTTTGATTGACTCACACTGCAGTCTAGACAATGACTCATTTGCAAGTAGTGAATTTGGTAGCTCAGTTAAAACAAGAGGGGAAACAAAATAATTGTTCAACAGCTAGTAGTCAAATCATTCCCGTTCCTACCTGCATTGCCACTAGGGTTGCCAACTTGGCCATTTTCCAGGAGATTTTCCAGGCCAGTTTCCTGCTTCCAAATGGCCCATCCAGACACTGCTAACATTGGTTATCTGACACACCACTTCTGGCTCTATCCCACTTTCTGACAGGTAAACAAATCATGGAATCCCTACAGTGTGGAAACAGGCCATTCGATCCTTTGAGTCCACACTGACCCTCCAAAGAACATCCCACCCAGACCCAGCCCTCCACCCTATACCTGTAACCCTGCATTTCCTGTGGCTAATCCACCTAACCTGCACATCCCTGGACACTATGGGAAATGTGGCATGGCCAATCCACCAAACCTGCGCATCTTTGGACTGTGGGAGGAAACCGGAGCACCCGGAGGAAACCCATGCAGACAAAGGGACGATTTCTGACTGTCAGTTGAAGCAGCACCTTGTTCCACTTTCTGTATCTTTACAAGTAATGATCAGAAATAATTGAAGAAAATGGAAAAATTATACAGTTTTATCATGCTTTTATGATTTTTCTCTTTGCTGTCATAAGAACTCTGATAGCTTCTGAACTCCTAAGATCACCTATTTCCAAATTCACCCATCTCCTCCCCGTCTCACCTCCTACGTTTTGAAACCTTCATTCGCACCTTTGGTTAGCTCGAGACTTGACAATTCCAATACTCTTTTGACCACTGCCCATATTCCACCCCCTCAAAACCTGAACCAAACAGTTCTCCTGCCCATGTCCTAATTCAAACCATGCCTTGAGACCATGCCCTCGCTCCCTGACCTACATGGCTTGGAAGAAGAGTCATTGGTTTCAAAGTGTTAACTCTTTTCCACTCTCTGCAGATGCTGCCATATCTGCCATGTTTCTCCAAAAAACTTGTAGTTTTTATTTCAGACTTATTTTGAGTGCTATTTGACCACCATCTCAATTTTAAAATTGGCGTTGCTGTTTCCAAATCCTTCTAGCACCTCAGAACTTCCTATCTGAGTGCACAGTGACTCAGTGACACCGTGGTTAGCACTGATGCCTCACCACACTAGGGACCTGAGGTCAATTCCACCCTCAGATGACTGTGTGTGGAGTTTGCACGTTCCTCCCATGTCTGCGTGGTTTTCCTCTGGAAGCTCCGGTTTCCTCCCACAGTCCAAGGGTGGGCAGGTCAGGTGGATTAGCCATGCTAAATTGCCCATAGTGTCCAGGGATGTGTAGGTCAGGTGGATTAGCCATGCTAAATTGCCCATAGTGTCCAGGGATGTGTAGGTGAGGTGGATTTGCTATGGGAAATGTGGGGATAGGTTGGGGTCTGGGTGGGATGCTCTTTGGAAGGTCAGTGCAGACTCAATGGACCAAATGGCCTCTTGCCGCACTGTTGGGATTCTATGGTGCTATCTCCGTAATCTCTGACAAATCACAATTCTCTGATTATAGCTCTATTCTTTTAATCCTGATATCATTCCTAATTTTAATTGCTCCACAATCGGCAGCCATGCCTTCATACTGTCTAGGGTCGACCCTCTGGAAATCCTTCCCTAAGCCTTCTATCTCACTTTCCCCCCCTCTAAGATACTATAGTACAATATCTACATCTCTGTGGCTCAACGTCAAATTTTCCTTTATCGGGTTCCTGTGAAATATTTTGAAATGCTTCACTATGTCAAAGGCGCTATATAAATGCAAGTTGCTGACATTCTTTTCATTTTATTTTCAGGGCAGTTGCCTTCTGCCTAGGTGTTAGTGCTCATGATGTCAGACCGATTACAGAGCCCCTTACAGAGGTCATCTGCGCTCAAAGGAGTGGCCACAGACATTAGCCAACTGATGGAGAATCTTGACACCAATGAGTTACGTTTGGAAGGAGATGATGTGGACTTCGATTCTGGCAATGATGCAAGACAATCCAGTGAGCATGACTTTCACTGAAAATACAAGAGTTGCCCAACATT